AGGTACGTCTTGAAAATCGTATATAACGCCAGACATTTTTCTTATATATTCTTCGAAGAATTTTCAATTAAATATAAAAACTTTAAACTAAATTAATAATGATTTCTATTTAATTTATTAATATAATTTAATATAAGATAATTTTCATTAAAAATTGAAAAAACCAATAACAATTACTTAAACGCGTATATAATAGGATTAAAAAATTCAAATTATATTAATTTGAATTTAATAAAAAAAATTGTTATTATTAAATTGCAAATATATTTTATAATATAAATTACTCATGATAACTTAGAATACAATACATATATAATTTAAAAAATAATGATATAGACAATATATAATCATGTATAATAAAATTATATTATAAAATATAATATAATTTTGCAAAATAAATAACAATTTATTTTTAAATAAAAATAATATATATACCAAAAAATATTACTAATATTATAAAGTATATATATTTAATAATTAAAAGTTAATGATTTCTATTATAATACAATTTTACCTAGTAAAATTATAATTAAAATATATTCCAAATATTAAGATAATAATTTTATATCTCTTTTCATCTCGTCTGATAAAATATTCAAAAACCTTTGGAGACCACTTAATCCGTCCATTATCAACGCTTTGTTCTGATCCGTTTCACGAATTGATTTTTTCAACACAAAAGAATAATTAAAAAGAACAAATTAACGGCATATTTCGCTTTAATTTCTGAAAATTCTTCGATTATCGCATTGATAATATTTTATCATTGATTTTTAATTAGTTAAAATAATTATTAATCAAAAGATTTTTAGTAATTGATATTACGAAATATATATTCAATTATTTCTAGAATAATTAAAATATCTGACGTTATGTTACGAATTACTTTCATTAATTCTACTTCAAAAGATTTCGAAACTTTAATTATAATATCTCTAAATAAAAATACCAGACCTTACAAAAAGTACATCGTATCTATTTACAATTCTATAATTTTCATAAAATGAACAATTAAAATACATATTTAAAAAAGAAAAAAAAGAGAAATATCAAATATCCGATTTATAAATCACAATTATTGAAATTTTACGCCTTCTTTCCATGATCTCTAAATGAAAATAACGTTAGCTTAATAGGTTAAGTCGATGACCTGAAGTACTTGAACTTGTAACCCTCTGATCCCTCGGTAATGCGATAAAATCCCACAGGATTTATCGTGGTGGCAGCCTGTGTAATGACCTTCGAGGCACGTGACAACGCTGCCAAAGTGGTTCCGGCCCGTTTCCGCTTTAATCAAACGTCGACAATAAAAAATACGAGGAATCAACGGAACCGTAGATCCACGTCTAGTCAAACGACGAAATGGGATCATCAATTAGGCGTGTTCAAAGTGAACAGAAGCCCGAGCCCAAGCATACACGAGGTTTCGAGGAAACAATTGACCGCGGAGTTCATGCAGTTTTCGAAAGAATTGAACGAGAAACAGGCTGGCCACTCGATTAAGAAAAGTCCCAGCGCGCCAACTTTGATAGACAAAAAATCACCACGCAAAAGAACGTCAAAGTACGCTGGATGCGCTTTATTAAATCCGGAATTATTGCAGAGACATGCCCTTTCCGTTGATAATCCGAGCTACAGCCCTCACCAGGTATTACAAAGATAGAAAGATAATAGGATAGACCTGTACAAAATTGTGTTTTTATTTTTGCAAAAATCTTTTTTTAAAATTAACTTAACATTTTCGTTATAATAATTGTTAGGATGATTTTTATTTAATGATTATTGGAAATGATGTTAACAACAAATCGTTAGAAAATATATATGCTTCAAACTGAAGATTTATTTGCCGAATAAAGCTAACTATACGAATTCCACATTTTAAATAATTCAGTTCAGACAAAATTTGATTCATCTCTAATTCTACAATAAATTATTTTATGTATGTTTTGCTCTTAAATTGATCTTTGAATTGATTTCAAATATATACAATTTAAATATTTAATGTTTGAATATAAAAGTTTATACGTTTATATACATGTATCTCTGGTATGCAGATAAGATAAGACCCGTATGAAGTGAAACCGGCATAAAACCCGTTTGAGTGTTCATAAATTGCTTTATGATTTTTTTACAATAAGAATTAAAAAGCAAAAGTTAACGAACGAGATAAACCTTGAAGATAAACAAAGAAAATAAATAAATTCTCAAAGAATAAATATAACATGCACTTGTACAAATATTAAATATCATATACACGTCGAATAATTTTTTAATGTTACTATTAATTTACATAAAAATTGTATCATATCGAAAATCAAAAAAAATATATGTTATACATTCTACGTTATATTTTTATCAATTATTTTGTATTAATTGCGGAATCATTTTATAAAATCATATTATTTTAATCACACAATTTTGTACAGATTTCTTCTCATGTTAATCACGTACGTAATCAAAGTAATTTTCTGGATAGGTCAGCAGAGAAAGTTTGGATCAGCAAAAGATGGGAGGCAGCCAGGTTTCAATGGCGATGGATTTGCACATTCCTAATAAAGGTCCAGTTACGTTGAAAGTTAAAGATAGATCGGACACAGCGAGACGTCATCAACTGCTTCGACAAACGAAAGTTGATTACGTCGAAGAAGTTGATGAAGCTGTTAAATCACCGACTGGTCGCGGTTACTCGCCTAAATTATCAGGTCAGTCGTTACGGTGATTATGCAAAAATGTTATTCGTCTGTAATGAATTTTTAACGAACTACGAATTATTTCCGTACAGGTGCCTATAGCAAATATCCAGACGATTTTGTACCGAGGAAAAGAAACTCGATAGATATAAAATTATTAGAAGAATTGACAGCGTCGAAAGATCTTACAAAAATATCGCCTAGAGATTTTCGTAAAATCTCTTCGCCGAGCTTCCATAAAATGTCATTCGACAAAAGTGGAAGTGATCGTAGGATCGAGAGAAGCATGGGACAACGTAAAGCCAGCCTTGAATTCAGGAAAAGTCCCGACTTTCGGAGGGGAGATTATAGGTAACGTTACGAATTATGTGATTTATGCACGTTAAAAGTTTCAACGGAACTTGAAAATAAAAGATCAAGGATCTTTTTTTAATCACGTGTTATTAATTAAGAAAGAATGATTTTTCACATTTTATAATTTTAAATTTGATTTTTTTGCTAATTCGAGAGCAAATTAATTTTTTTTTAAATTTAATCATCTTTTACATAAAATATAAGATGTATAATAATTGTTAGTTAATCTAATTTAAACTTATATATAATACAATATACCTTTCTCCCTTCTAAAATATTAAAATTCTTTTAATATTAATTCTTATTATTCAATTCATTTATAAGTACTTGATAATTAAAAAGAAAAATTGGAAAGCGTAAATAAAAATGTTTGATAAATTTATCCCAGGAAATTGTCAGTGGACAGATTCAGTATCGATTGCGCTAAATACCTATCCGACGATGTGGAAATGAGATCAAGGGCGAGCAGCGGTGACAATCTGAGAAGACAACGGCAACCGAAACTGCATCATTCCAGATCGGATGACAATAAGAGGGCGTCGTTCGAAAGACACCAGAAAGACGCTCAATCGAGCCGATACTCTTTGAACACGCAAGCGGTCATCGAGAGTGGGGGATCAGAGGCCGAATTCAAGTATTTCACGGCAACGTCACTTGACACGGAAGAAAGTCGCGCTGACAATTCAGACGACAGCCGCGCGATCGATATAGACGAACAGATAGCAGCGAATGTGCCGTCCGACGGGCCGACAGAAGCTGATGCCTTACTCGAGGAACCTGAATTAGAGAACGTGCCCGAAACCGACGTTGAGAGCTCGAGATACGAGATGGATGAGACCGAAACGTACGATGAAGCTGCTTTAAGAACGAAAAATTTGATATCTAACGATCAGATGTCGAAGAGACAGGGGAAAAATAATTTTCGTAACATGGATGAAAGATTGGATGATTTTGTGAAAAGCAAAGAAACCATATTGTACATAAAAGAGCACGAAATTTAGAAGGAACACTATCGGATCATCATCTGATCGTATATGGGATGTGATTATAATAATAAAACGTGTATTGCGACTCCCTCGTATGATTCGAGGGAAGATTTTTGAAAAATGTTTGAATTTTCCACGTTAGGTACACGTTTAATAGGATATTGAAAAATTGATAAATTTATTGTATCCAAGTTGATACAGCCGCTTGTTGTTTGATAACGTATATTTGTTAAAAAAAAAAAAAACTAAATATTTATAATATTCGACGTATAAAATTCAATGAACATTGCGCAAATTGTATAAAATAATGATCACGTTTAGAAAGGATAGATAGTTTGTTATGTGGCAGTTTGTTACGATTGCATTTTTACGTGGAATTTAAACGAAATTTGAAACAAATGTGATGGAACGAGTACGACAATTATTAAAATAAAATTCTTTTCGAGCGAATAAATGTTCTTATTAATAAAATTCGCTCTGAAGTTTGTTATATTTTATAATTATTTTTTATTGTATTTCGTTTTGCAATTATTTGAATAATTAAATTTATCTTCTCGATTAATATTAAATACAGTAACGCGATACATGCTCAATGATCTCAAAATATTAGTGTAAATAAAGTTAATATAGCTTATCGCGGATTGTATTTTGTTGCAAGACAATCATTTCGAAAGAAAATTACTTTCCCTCACGAGAAAAAAAAACATGATAAATATAAAAATTTGCCGCACTGATGACAAATAATAAATATACATACCTTCTTATATGATCCGTTGATCTGTACAAAATTAATAATATTTATAATGAAAATACATAGAAATTATGTTGAAATCACGAAACATATTTCTGCCGAAGATTATTATAGCCTTCTGCATATGTACGAACAATTTCGTCATTGTTTATGATGAAAAAAATAAAGCGAAGAGACGATCGTGAATTGATTCGCGCTGATTCATGCAATTATTCGAGCTATTTCAAACTTGGCGATGTATCAAAAATTCTCTCTCGTTAAAAATATTCAATATAAACTACGCAAACGTAGCATAAATTTTTAATAAACTTGAAATATCTAAAAAATAAAATTGAAACAATGCAAATCTTACGAACTATTTGCAATGATTCTTGAAGTTTTATTAAAAATATATTTTCCAGTTTTTAAAGCTTTCAATATATATCATATTATATCACTTTTTAATCTAAACTTATGCTATTAAATGACTGCTAAAAAGAAAATAACAGAATGTATCAATGTTTCAAACAACATTTTTCTCGAAACAATAAAAGTTATACGATTAAAAATAAAATTTTAAAAACCATGCTAAGAAAAATCAATGTGTATTTACTCATATGAAATGGTTTTTTTAAATCATATCAAACATATATACAATTATTATACAATGTTGAAATATCTCTAATAATACATTTTACGAAAGTTCAGTAATTCAAAAATAGAATTAATTATTAAGAACTTTCTTATTCTATTGTTAAACCGTTTCACATAATTGAATAGGCATAAATTGTGGCCTATTTCATTATACGAGATGTCGAAATCGATCTTTCAGATTCGATAAAAAATATTTTTTTTTTTTAGATAATATAACGAGAACGAAAGAATCAATGGACTTTATAAATATTCGAATCGAAAATATAAATATAAATAAAAAAAAAAAAAAAAAAAAA